TGTCACAGAAGCTGATGTGGGCCAGTCAGTTGTCGAGACTGTGGTGAGCATCATGCCTCAGGTAGTACCTACCACTGGGTCGGAGGTAGAGCAAACAGAGATCCCAGCTATCGCTGTTCAGCAGCTAATACAGGCTCAAGCTACCGCTGCAGCCACAACTTCAGTGGATTCTGTCACAGAAGCTGATGAGGGCCAGTCCGTGATCGAGACTGTGGTGAGCATCATGCCTCAGGTAGCACCTATCGCTGGGTCGAAGGTAGAGCAAACAGAGATCCCAGCTATCGCTGTTCAGCAGCTAATACAGGCTCAAGCCACCGCTGCAGCTGCATCTTCAGTGGATCCTGTCACAGAAGCTGATGAGGGCCAGTCCGTTGTCGAGACTGTGGTGAGTATCATGCCTGAGGTAGAACCTACCGCTGGGTCGAAGGTAGAGCCAACAGAGATCCCAGATATCGCTGATCAGCCGCTAATACAGGCTCAAGCTACCACTGAAGCTGCTGACCAGGAAATGATTGAGACGCAGGCTGCAGTCCAGAACTCAAATGGTTTGGACCAGAGCGGAGACGTGGTGAGCCAGGACTTGGGAAGGGGGTGGGGCTGCAAAGTCGATATTTGACAACTATTTACCGAACTGGATATGGCTAGTGGTGGATATTTACCGAGACTTAAAGCGGTGAGGTAAATATCCACTGCTATTCATCGACACAGAGGTAAATAGTTGTTTGAGTATACACTAAAACAGGGACATAACACAGCATAAGAAGAGAATTCTGTCGTAAACTGCAAAGTTTATAACATTTTTGTGTGAAAATCCCGCACGCGTTGCTCGTAAGTGAATAGCAGAAGATATTCAGAGTTTGAGCAGCTAAGCTGCTGATATCTGGAAAGAAAAAAATGTTGCTCATATGTCACTGTAAGGGAAATGGCATCTCGAAATGAAATAAACAACAACAAAATAAATAGTATCGATTACGTATCAACGCTTTCGAGCCGGTGGTGTATCCCCGATTTCTAAGAAAAAAATACATCTGATATCGGATGACAGAATATTAATAATGTCGGTCAGATATCATTGTAAAATAGACATTACTAGGAAAATGTAAGTTAATTTACTGTTCTTAATGTGCTCATACACCAGAAAATAACGTCGACTGATGGAGTTAATTTCCGTGTAAACGGTTAATTTGCTATTGCTTTGTTTGACACAGGCACCTTCAGACAAGTAGTCTAAAATGTCCAAAAAAAGATATTACTGACAAAATGCACATGACCCTGAAGTTACTTTTAAGTTTCAAATTCATTTTTTTACCCCAGCCCTTTCTCCTGATAAAATGATTTTCATTTTACGTTTTTGTACATTAGACCAAAAATGGAGAGAAACATAACATTTTCTGCTTCTCTTTTCATTTCGTTTGATACACAGAGTCCTGAAAAAGAGGATCTCCAAGTTGACACCCAAGTTGTCACCCCAGATGAATACCATTCTGATCATGAGGAAAATGCTGTTGCCCTTGATGTTCAGGGAATAGAAACACCACCTGCAGAGCAGGAAAGGTAACCGAAATCAGTGGGACTTAAATTGGAACTTCTGATACTAATGGGTAGAATATTTAGCTTTTTAAGGTGAAGACAATATTTTGCTTTGTCACTGGCTACACTGAGGGCGAAGAAACATAACTGAGCTTTTCTGAAATTCTAATGGGTGAATTTTATGCGAAGAACTGCACTGTTCTGTTATCGAACTAGAACTGTTATCTTGAAAGTGGGAATTTTAGACTTTAATCACCTATATAAAGTTAAGCTTTGGTGAAACATTTACTTTGGAACGTCAACTTAACCCGTTTGGATTAGCATGTTGTCTTTTGCTAAAATAAATAGAGGATATTACATGGCCGCAAGGGGATACAAATTTTATCGTCTCTCAGCACGAGAAGATAGAATTCGTACCCCCAAGCGGCCATGTAATGTTCTGTTTACTTTATAGATACTG